TATGATTTGAACTTATTTTTCTGTCTTTGTGTGTGAGTTTACATGTGGCTTGTTCTGTTTACTGGTTTGTTTTCTGAACACAGCATTGGATCAAGGAAAGAGCCAAACTACGGAATTATCCATTCAGTAGTATTTTCTTTTCTTTTCTTTTCTTTTTTTTTTTTAGGCGAGGCAACCCTTGGTTGACCACAGATTGCAAGGACCTTGTCAGCTTACAGTCCTTTATTTTTTAACTTTTTACGCCTACAGCACCTGGTCTTCCTAGGTGGTCTCCCATCCAAGTACTAACCAGGCCCGACCCTGCTTAGCTTCTGAGATCAGACAGGATCGGGCTTGTTCAGGGTGGCATGGCCATAGACTTCAGTAGTATTTTCTGAGTGCATGAATGGCACTAGACACTGTTCTAGGCATGAATCATTATCATGTATCATTGAACAAAATAGACAAAGATCGTTGTACTTGGGAAGTTCACGTTTGGGGGCTAGGGAAGGAAGGGCAGATGTTATAAGTAAGGAAATATGACAGTAAGTTAGAAGGAGTACATGCTATGGAAGAAAAGATAAGCATAAAGCAAATCAAGGAAAACTGACATTCTAAGAGATTGAGGTGTTGATTTGTAGTTTAAATAGGTTGGTCAGAGCTAAGCTTGCTGAAAAGATAGTAATAGCTCAAGACCTGAAAGAGGTAATAGAATTTGCCAGTTTGAGGAAAGAGTATTGCAGGCGAAGATTTCAGTCAGTGCAACGAGGCTGCCTGGCATGATCTAGGATCAGAAAGGGCCAGGGAAGCAAGTTGGGAAGGACAAGGAGCAGGGTCGCAGGAGAGACCAGAGCAGTCCTAGAAAACGGGTCCTAGAGACCTGGAGGTCACTGTAAGGATTTGGCTTTTATCCTGAGGGAACTAGAGAGCCATTGCAGGTGTCTGAGTACAGCAAGGACATGATCTGGCTTACATTTTAAAAGGATAACTCTGGCCGTGGGAGGAGGAAAGGTAGAAGCAGAGAGCCTCTTATAGTAATCCAGATGAGATGCTGGTGGCCTGAGACCAGGATGCTTGCACAAGAGGCGATGAGATGTGGTTGATCGTGAATCTAATTAGAAGATAGAATCAATAGGGTATCTCGATGGATTAGATGTGAGAGGAAGAGGAAATAAGGATAAAGCCAGGTGATTTGGTAAAACTACTGGAGGGAGTTACCATCTATTCAGGTGGAAAGGCTAGTGATAGAGGTTGGTTGGGGGTTAAGGAAGGAAATCACAAATTCAGTGGTGGACATGAGTTAAAATGTCTGTTGGATGTTTGAGTTGGTGTCAAGAAGGCAGTTGGATATATGCGTGTAACAAGCACATATCAGCAGATGACACATTAAGATGTTGTATCTGACAGAATTGCCCTGCTTACCTAATGAGGGCCTCTGGTTTCTTCAGCTGCATTTCATAAACAACCACAGAACTGGAAGGGGAGAAGGTGAATAGTGGGCAGGAAGCCTCTTCGAACATAGAAAGCCTGTAGCTTAAGCCTTTGATTGATATCCTGCTTTTATGGAGAACTTCATTAAATCCTCAGTTGCTAGAACATTCTCTGATGACGATAAGCTGTCTAGCAAATAACCTCTCTGTTTCTCCTTGCATGATTGGCATCTTTCATCTGCTCCTAGCACCTTTACACTGTTGGGTCCTTGTGGCAAGCATCTGTAGGTGATCGAAATAACTCCTGTTCTCAACCCGCTTCTCTCTCTCTTCCTTCCATGTGTGAACATCTAATCCAAAAACTTGCAAAAAGCACTCCTATAGCCACACAAAGTAAGGTTTATTCACTTCCTCCTATAAGGAAGAACCACCTATGAGGAAGACGCTCCCTTTGGGGTTTCTCAAAGGGAGCGGGGAGAGGGTCAGAAGGTATGTTGGGGAAAAGTGGAGCCAGGGGAGGCACTGAGGGGCTGGACTGAGCTCTGAATGGTCCTGGCAGATGCTGGTCAGAATTCGTAAACTAGGAGCGTTGCTGCAACAGGCAGTGGAACTTTCGAATCCGTGCAGTTGTCTGTGGTTCTTACCTAGGACATATGGGATGAAGAAGCTGGTGTTAAAATATTTCGAGCTTAAGTAGGTAGCGTTCATACCTGGTTTGGAAAAAAAAAAATGTATCTGTTTTGTGAGTAGTAGTAAAGTCTGTTTTGCTAGTTGTGATTTCTGTGTCAATCCTAAGACTACCCTCATAACTTAGCCGTCAGAGATTTTTTTCTTTGTCATAGGCAGAAACAGCCATGTGACACAGCCCTGGCTGATGAGAGATAAGCAGAAGTCAGCTGTGGTGTTCGTGAGAACGTTTTTATTTTCCTGATACGCATGCCACCCTTTCCCCTCTACCATCCTTGTTCAAATGTAGACACCATGCCTGGAGCTGTATGTTCAAGAAAATCAGAGTTTAGATG